CAACTCTGCTGCCTCCCCGTGTCTGCTATTGGATTATATGATCTTCCCTATACAACCAAATCAAAGTGCGACTCCTTTAAAGCCCATCTGTGTCAGGTCAAATAATGCCCCTCACCCTGCCCCGAGATGCCCACATCATCCTAATCCCTGAAACCTGTCAATATGTTACTTCACACAGCAAAAAGAAGTTTGCAGAGGTAATTAAGGTTCTTGAACTGAGAATTTTATCCTGTATTATTTGGGTGGACCCAGTGTCATCACGTGGGTCCTTATAAGTGAAAGGAAGAGGCAGGACAATCAGAGAAGGGAGACTTGAGGATGCAAAGCTGCTGGCTTCAAAGAGGGAGGAAGGGGCCATGAGCCCAGAATATGGGTGGCCTCTTAAATCTGGAAAAGGCAAGAAAATGGATTATCCCCTGGAACCTCCAGATGAAATGCAACCCTGCTGACACCTTAATTTTAGTCCAGTGAGACCCATTTTGGACTTGTGACCTGCAGGAATGTCAGATGATAAGCTTTGCCATTTTAGGACACTAAGTTTGCTTACAAACTTACAGCAGCAGTAGGGAATGAATATACGACCCAATGACATCTCTAAGCATTGAGCATAAAAATCTAAAAGTGTTAACACAACCCACTGGACTCAGAGCTCTGTGCATGCAGAGACTGCCTTTTCTATTCACTCTTGTATTGCTCTGCAGTGTCTGACTCAGTGTGTCTTGAATAAATGAGTAATTAAGAGAGAGAGGGAGAGGAAAGTGGGAAGAAAAAAAAAGGTAAAAAAGGAGAAGGGGGAGGAGAAGGAGAAAAGGCATCTTGAAATCTTCCAGTCTCAACAAAACTAAATTTTGTTGTGGAACATATGGGTCTGTGGAAGCTGGACGTACTGTGTGTGAGTGGAAGGAAAATCAGTTGCTGCTTTTAGTTAGAAAAACCCAAGGCTGTCTAGGGAGTCCGACTCCCATCCCCCCAACCTCCAGGGAACCGGGCCCTTGGAGGATTCAGCTCTAATCCCCTGAGGCCAGAGCAGTTTCCATTCAACAGAGTAGTGAAGGTGGGAGCGCGCTGGGCCCTCCCATCTGTGCTGGGCTGGGAGGTGGTATCTGCAAGATAACTGGGCACCAGGGCATTCTGGGGAGCCCCAGGGAGGCAGCTGGGAGTCTTCTGAGACTTCAGCAATGCAGGCTAGAGGACTGGATAAAGGTCTTGGAGCTCTCGATAGGGCCAGGGACATTGTCTTCCAAACCCAGACTGGGATTTGGGTCCCGGGGTCCTGAGGGCTCATTCTGTTTCCCACCTAGAATGGGAACTGTTTTTACCACTCTAGAGAGGGCCCAGGCTGGGGACATAAGGGGTACCAGGAGGGCTTTGAAAGCTGTGGCAGATGCATCCTGAGAGCTCCCAGGCCCTGGGCTGGGGTGAAGCACCTTGGCAGATGCCCCTTAGGCAGCTTTAGCCACCCCAGCCATCCTCTGGGCACCAGTAGGTCCTTGGTGAATCGGTTTCAGATTTGAGCTCTGGTCACTCAAAGTTGGGAGTTCACAAGAGACTCAGTCCTCCCTGTACACATAGGAAATGTGAATCATGGTGGAGGGGGCGGTGACTCGCCTGAGTCACCAGTGAGCCTGTGGCAGAAGGAGATCAGAACTCGAGTTTTAGGGCTTCCGGTGCTAATGCTGTGTGGAGAGCTCCCCTTTCCCCCAACTCTGCCCTCAAATGTCAATTTCACAGCTTTGTGTTTTTCTCCACACACTCGCCTGCACTTAGTAAATAGTAGTTAAGAGACTGCATCCCCTGTCCTGCTGCCAACACGAGAGCCCCCCCTTCTCCCCTCGTGCCACCCTCCCGACCTCTGCAGCCCTCCCTGCCCTTAACCCTCACGACCCTGCTCGTTCTGTCTGAAGTGGCCCCGTGACCTCGGCAATGTCAGATGGCAGCAGCAGCTGGTTGTGCCAGGGCCTAATGGTCTCTATTAAGGGAACAGCTGTTGGCTGGGGCTCCGGAGGCATGGGCCAGATGCAGCCACACTCCATGGCCGTTCCGCGGTTAACATGGGCTGCAGCAGCCAAAGAGGTGCTATTGGTTCTCTTTCAAGGACATGATGTCACAGCCAGGCACATGCTAGTTAGATGTCCTCTGCTAACCGTTACACAGGAATCACCGATGACTGGCCCATTGCTCTGAGACCTGGTACCCAGCTCCCTTCATCCGGCCTTTAATATCTTTGCTTTCTTGGCTTTTTGTTCTCAGAGCTTTCTATGGTACGTCTGGCTCCCAAACTCTGTCATTTATGAGCAGGATGCTATGGGCCAATGTGACTGGGTACGGATTCCAAAATAGCCTGGTGTGAATTCCGAGACAGGATTTTCTCAATCTAGAAGCTGTGGATACCTTCTGGTCCAAACAGCACTCAAGCGTCATGGACCTCAACAAAGACTGTGAGCTCATGGCGCCTGCTCCAGGCCCCTCCTCTTCCTAGCATCTTCCCAGGTGTCCTCTGGGCCCTGTCAGCAGCCCTTCCCCAGGTCATCTCATCTTGCAGGTCCCTGCTTCACCTCCCTGCCTATGGAGGCCTCTCGGGCGAATGGTTCCCAGGGATACCTAATTGGGATAATGAAATTAATGATTCTGACAGCAGTAAACAGGCACTGAATGAGCCTGGCTCTGTTCTGAGAGCTTTGCACATGTGAATTCATTAATCCTCACAGCAGCCCTGTGAGGTGGGCACTGTCCCCGATATGGCACAGAAGCCCTCTTCATAGCCTTCTTTTATAATCCCCTAACAGATGGAGGCCCCTTTCCTGCAAGTCTCCTCTGCTGCCTGGCACCCCACACCTCTGCCTCCCACCACACCTTTGCCACTCTCTCCTGCTTGCATCACTACATGCATTTCCTCTGCCTACTCCATAAATACGGGGTCTCCATGCTCCGTCTCCATATGGAACCCATAGCGGGGTTCCCTCCTCCATGCTCTTCTCACTGTACATCCCTTCCCAAAGTGAGCTGTCTCATCCCATGGCCTCAACCACTACCCATAGGCTGGAAGGAAAAGTGAGTGACAGGGCCGTGGGCAGGGTCGTAAGTACCATATTACGGATTGAGGTTACTAAGAGCCCGGAAAGTGTGGGATAGTTGATGAGGGCTTGTGACACGGCCAGATACTCATTTTGAAAAGCTTGTGGTTTTAGCTCTATCGGGTTTGTGTACCTGTGGTCTCAGTGAGGGGTCCTAGTCCCTTCACTGAGTAGGGTAAAGGGATAGAGAGTGAGGCATGGATTGCATAAGGTTTCAGGGTAAAACCAGCAAGGGCTTGACCAGGAGCACCAAGGTGAAGGAGATGAAGTGGGGTGACTCCCAGGTTTCCAGCTGGGACTGGAACAGGCAATCAGGTTTGGGCAGGAGATGCTGCATCGAGTCTTGGACTGCTGTGTTTGAACCATCTTTGGTCCTTCAAGGTGGGGGTATCCAGCAGGCAACCAGCTGTGGGCTCTACCCTCATGGGGTGGACAGAACAGAGGACTGGGAGTTGTCAATATACAATTCTGTTATGTTCATGAGCAGGGTGAGTTCTGAGGTTGGCAGGGTGGGCAGCCAAAGGCGGGGCAGCTACCAGCACCTGCATTCGGTTGGGGCTGCAGGGTTGGACCCAGTCAGGGCTGAAATCGTTCCTTGGATTTGGCAGCAAAGAGGTCACTGGTGACCTTCTTGAGGCGTGTTCCAGCATTGTGGGAGGACAGAGCCAGAGAAGTAGGAATGGAGCAGAAAGAGGTGGTGTCAGGCAGTGCAGGGAACTCTACAGAGGCTGGTAGGGCTGGAAGGAGAGGCAGGCACAGGAGAAGAGGGGTCAGGGGAGCTGCTGGGCCCCCAGACCTGAAAATCTGGTCATCAAGCTTGACAGTTTCCTCTTCCTCGCTGCTCATGTCCAGTGAGGCACCAAGTCTTGGGGATTCCTAAGCATCTCTCAATAGGCTTGTCCCTTCCTCTCCATCAGCCTGGAGATGCTGTGGAGGCCTCTGCAGCAGTCCCTGCCTCCACCTTTTCTGGTTCTGGGTCCTTTCACAATTCTGGCTTGGTGTGTGCAAGCTTCTGCCTGGCTGGCTTTCCCCCTTCTCCAGCTGATGAATTTGTGTCCCCTGCTGGGCTTGCCTGGGGGTAGGTGGAAGAAGTGGAGCAGCAGTCTTAGACCAGCCTGTTCCTGTCCCTCCCCATAGGGCAGATAGGGGACCTTGCTGAGGGGTGGATCTGAAGTGGGACCCCTCAAGGGTGGCTGAGGAGGGGCTTGGGTGAGGGATGTGGGAGAGGCTGCCACAGAGACCCCTGCATCTCAGCATCTCATTCCTAAGGATCCAACCTGGCCTGGTATGTCTCCCCTCCCCACAATCTTTCCAGATTGTGGGGCTGTGGGATGGTGTAAAAACAGGTAAGGGCTCCCTCCTTCTCTACCCAGGAGCTCTTGAGTGTCTTGCATCTCCATCCCTCTTTGAGGGATGTTCCTGGTACGGGGCTGAGCCCTCCCGCAGACTGTAGGCCTTGCCTTCCCTCCCCTAAACTGCTCCTGGTCACCTGCAAGGGCCCGGCTTGTGAGCTGTGGAGCATACCTCAGTGTGTGTATATATGAGTGTGTGTGTGTGTGTGTGTGTACATGTGTGATGTGTGATGTGTGATGCATGTGTGGGGGATATGATGTATGGTACATGTATGATGTTTGTGGTGTGTGCATACATGTGTATAGTGTGTGATGTGTGTGGTGTGTGATGTGTATATGGTATGGTGGGTGTGATGTGTATGTGGTGTGTGTGGTATATGTAGGTGACACGTGTATGATTTGTGTGTGTGTAGTGTGTGCTGCGTGTGGTGTGTGTGATCTGTGTGGTGTGAGAATGTGGTGTGTAATATGTGTATATGTGTGGGGTGTGTATGTTGGTGTGTGTGATGTGTATTGGTGTGTGTGTGCGTGTGTGTGTGTCTGGCCCCTCTCACCATGGCTGTCTTCTCCACAGGCTGTCCTGGGATGTGGGATAACATCACATGTTGGAAGCCCGCCCATGTGGGTGAGATGGTCCTGGTCAGCTGCCCTGAACTATTCCGAATCTTCAACCCAGACCAAGGTAGGTTTAACCCAGAGGCTCTTTAGATCACCCTTGTCTAGCCTGCTCCCCAAACTCGGCCCCAGGCAAGCACCAAGGACAGGGAGGCCACCCTTTGGGCAGAGAATCCCTGCTCCTGAACTCAGGTGCGGTGTGGGGGATGAAACCAGACATGCACACATGGGGACACAGGTACATGTGGGGACCATCATTGTGGGTAAGATCAAGGCTGTGTCCTCAGGCATGGGATCCATCCCAGGTGTCACTCATCCTCTAGCCCGGACCCCTGTCTGTCATCTGGGGAATGTGGCCCTGTGGTCCCCTCTCAGGGTACCTTTGTGAGGGTAACGTGAAGCAATGTTGTAGATACCACTTAGCACAGGACTTGGTGAGTTTTGAATGTGCAGTAGTAAATGTTAGCTGGGATTATTGTCACCATCCTCCCACAGCGACAGATCAATCCTCAGCAGCCCAGCGGGAGGCATGGAGAGAGACGCGCATGTAGACATCCCCCTCAGGCAGAATGAGACGCGTGGGGAAGGCAGCTGGACACAAGACACCCACATCCATATTCAGAGCCACTTAGATGCTGGCACAGGGCCTGGTGGGGCGGGCACACAATCACATTTGCTCAACAGAGCATTTTCTGGGCCCTCAATGCCCTTATGCAGTTACTTGGGCTCAGATGGGGAGGAGTCTGGCCTCAGGGTGCCAGGGGAGAGGGTGCCACACATGGGAAACAGTGCCACAGTGCTGTCAGTAACTCGTGGACATGGGCTTGGAGGCATGGGTGTGAGATGGCACCTCCCTGAGAGGGAAGGCTGGGAGGGTGCAGTGTCCTGAAGATCTGAGTTTGGGGCATGTCTGTGTTTGAGGTCTTGGGGGCCCCTAACGTGCTATGGAGATATCCAGCGGCCCCAGAATCATAGAGGAGCCTGTGAGTTGGGCAGAGTGTCCAAGCTCTGTGCCCAAGTGGCATGTAGGGTGAGGGCAAGGGAGAGAAGGAGATGCTCTACCCACAGACAGAAGCCCCAGTAGCCCTATCTCCATTGCAGGGGGCATCTGAGGGGAAGGGATGGCTGCAGATGGCTCCTTTGCATATGGGTCCCATGGGCTCTTCCAGGATGGTTCCTGCCTTTCGACTGAGACCTGTGAACCTTCCCACAGGCCTTCTACCTCATCCCTGTGTCACAGGAGGCAGGGTGGCCAGCTGAGGGCACCGAGTTGGGGCTGGGCAGGGTGAGCTGGTGGGGCTGGCTTCAGGCAGGTGACTTACTGAGCCACCTCCTGGCCATCAAGCAATGGGTGGGGGCTCCTGAGGGGATCAGAGGGGTCCAAGTTTTGTGTGGCCATGGACCTGGCCTTAGTGTTCTCCTTTCCAGCCTAAGCCTTAGGCTGATGTCCTTCTAGAAGGGACGAGTTTCCAGGCTGCACTCTGGCATTGAGTCCTGCCTGCTGCAGTCCCCTGACCTCTCTGAGAGGAAAAAGGCAAATTTGCTCTCAAACCTCAAATTCCAATAATCGACTCTGCCCTGGAGGGGGAGGGGCTTGCAGGAGGTGGCAGAGAAAATAGTGGTGTGTGTTGGGGTCCCAGGCCCCCGTCTCTGGCTCCCACCCCAAGGTTTGTCTAAGATGTACTCCACCCTGCAGCATACCTCCACCTCCAGACCACCTCTCGGCCTAGGAGGAGGGGGGCATGGAACTCTCCCATCTGAGGGCTTGGGGACTGGGTGTGACCCAAGCAGGCTGCAGTGAATTTTGAAAGAGAATACAGGCACTGGAGTGAGAGATACAGTAGGACTGGAGGGCTGTCAGGCATGGTGGCAGCCAGTGAGTGATTCAGCCTGATTTCCAATTCATTCCTGTAGAGCCAGCTTAATCACTTCCTCTGTTCATGTATTTCTTTTATTCCATCATTTCTTTAAAGTTTATTGAACATCGACTCTGGGTCAGATTCCATGCCAGACTCCTCCTTCTCAACATCAAAAGGCAAAATGAATCAGCAGTAAAATAAGATTTTCTTAAGATACACTTTCCTCCACACTCCCCCCTTCCTCTGGAAGTGGCACAATGAAGGTGTTATTCACACCTGATTCTTAATGGTTCATTATGGCAGGGCCTTTTAGCACCTCTCTTCACAAAGCTTGATTGGTGAGACTTGACTTGAATACTTGGCAGGGAAAGAATGGAATTCCTCTTTCTTCTCAGTTCCCAGGTAGCCTGTTGTGATGACTGGCTGTGTAGGATATTGGAGAGACTGGAGATGTGGGAGCACTAATCTCCTTCCTCCTCTCAAATGCCTCTGCCCATTTCTTTTCTGGAGGTCTCCAATATTCCCAGCTTATAGTCCTCATACCTTCTGGGTTCCCCAGAGCCCCTTTTTAATGTTTGAGGGTGGGAAGGAGGAGGAAGTGATCAGGGCCCGATGAGAACACCCCCTGACTTCAGCCACGCTGCTTACTTCTGACTTCTCTCTCTCTCTCTCTCTCTCTCTCTTTCTCTCTCTCTCTCTCTGTTTCAGTCTGGGAGACCGAAACCATTGGTAAGAGGAACCTTGGTGAGGACAGACCACTGTCTCTCTGTCCACCCAGCAGGAGTCCAGCCTCAGGAGATCCCAGGCTCTGGCTGCTGGGATTGGGGCAGGGGTGGGGGTGGGAGTGGAGTAAGAGGCTCATTGGGGATCAGGTTCTTTCCTCCTTCCTCCCTCCCCTCTCCCCCATCTTGGCCATTCTGGAGGTGAGGGTACAGGAAGATGCAAGACACAGATGGGACCTCGGGGCCCTCACAAGCTTATTTGGGAGGATGGGACTCACCAATGGAGGGGCTTACAAGCTCACACATAAGTGTAGGTGCATGCATGTGCATACGTACAGACCTGAACATGTGTCTGAGTCCATGCAGACGGTGATATCCCTGACACCTAAGAAGCCAGAATGCACAGTGAGCAAGAGAACAGAAGAGCGAATGATGCAGCATGCAGGCAGAATAGTGAAGTCAGGAGAGGCTTCCAGGAAGAGGTGTCATGTCAGCTGGACCTTGGGTTTTGAGAAGTGGGGGTGGCATGTCAGCTGGACCTTGAGTTTTGCGAAGTGGGGGTGGGGGTGGAAATGGGGTCTCATTGCTAGCAGGGGTTTGAGAAAAGGGTGGAAATGGGAATGAAGAGTAGAGAGAGAAGAAGAAAAATTGTCTGAAGATGAAGTCTTCTGGATTCCCTTGATGAAGGGCAGTTTTGGAGGCTGAGGTGGAGGGCTGAACACCAGAAAGGAAACCACATTGCTGTGTTTTGCCCTTTTCTTGAAAAGGCCCAACCATCCCTTTTCATTTTCTCCCATTCCTCTCCATTCTGGAGGCCCTCCCATCCTCCTGGCAATGCCCATTGCCATTTCCTGTGGAGAACTGAGTCCTGGACCATCCTGAACATCACAGAAATGCAAAGCAAGTGAGACTGGTGTTAGAAGGTGGCACGTGTGAGACAGGTGTGCGGCTGCTGTGTGTGATGTTGCCTCTTGGCCAGGACCCCATCCCCTCCTTCCTGTAGACCAGGGGTAGCCTGAGCCTTCCAGGGTGGAGAGCAAACAGTAGCTAACTGTAAGGCAGGCATTTTGATACCTGCCTATGTCTGTATTTTGCAGGAGAGTCTGATTTTGGTGACAGTAACTCCTTAGATCTCTCAGGTAAGGGGATAGGCTGGGGTCAACCATGGACTGGCTGGAGGGAGGGCATCTGCTGATGTGTCAGCTTTGAGAGCTCCATCCCAGGCTGGGCTCTGCCCCTCTGTGGCTGGGTGATCTTTGGCTGGTGACTTTTTTTCTCTGAAAAAGGTACAGATTATCTTCCCAGAAAAACTCAAACAGAAAACTGTGCATAGAATTTCAGGGGAGCCACAGATGTCTTAGGGTCTCCTTGTGGACTTCAAGTAAAGAAGTCCTGGATTGCATGAACCTTGACTGTTTCTGAACTCCAACATGTAGAACAGTGGCTCTCAAGCTTTAACCATGTTTCACAGTTACCTCGTGTGCTGTTAAAATGCAAGTTCCTGGCAGTCTCTAATTTATTCCACCTGGGCTGGGGCCTGAGAATGTGCTTGTCTCACCAGCGTCCCAGGCGATGCTGATGGGCTGATTGGGTAGGGCAGCCCTTTGGGAAACGCTGCCCGAAAGTTCTGTGTTCCTGTGCAGTCTCTGGGGCAGATCAGCCTAGTGAAGTCGATACAATCACTGAGAGGTTTTGACAATCTCAAGAGCACTCCATCTTCCGGAGATTTCTGTTAGAACAATGCAGTGGTGAATTCATGGAACAGTTCTGAACAAAAGGGTTTATACTTCTCTGAGCCCACAGTGTTATAAAAAGGAAAAAAAGAAAGAAGGAAATAAAAGAAAGGAAATGGCTTTTCTCTCTAGAACATTTTTTTTTCAAAAAATATTGTGTTTCAAAGCAGCTTCCCTTTCCTCTTCCCACCACCTTGATGTGAGCAAAACGGAGAGGAAATGAGGCCCAGGGAGGGGAAGGAGCTTGGCCATGGCGGTGATTTCCCTGGGACATTCAGACTTTCTGAAAGAAGTGTTCAGAGGGACTTAAAAGGAGGTTGCCTGAAACAGATTTGCTGGAAGAAGGGACAGTTTGGCATCAGCTGTGGGACAGAAGTGAGCTCCTTTGCTCCCCCTGGGCTGCCAGCTTCCTCCTTAGCCTGTGCCATAGAACTGAGAGTTGGAGAAGGTCTGGAGCCCAGGCTCCCCATTGTGGGCAGAACTCTCCTTTCTGGCAGCGTTGCCTGCATCTCGGAAAGTTCATTTCTGACTTTCTTGGCTAAAGAGAACTGGCCTTAGATCTTCTAATGCAACAAGTGAAGGACCCAGATTGGAAAAGTAGAAGGATCTCCTCTCCTGGCCTCTGCCTCCCGCAAAGACTGACCTGTTGCCCCCTTTGCCTCCTTTCTGAGTTCCCTGGAGGTGACCTGTCCAGTAATATAGGTACTGGAACCCCTTTTCTGCAGGTGTCTCTTGTTTTGTGTAATGCCCTGGTCTTCGAATGCTGTGAAGGGAAGAACCAACTGCATGTGGTCCTGATAGACCAAGTACACTCCCAATGTCAGGCTGGGGTGACACTTAGGTGCTGGGCTGGAGGAAAAGGGGGCTGCTTGCTCACCCCCATCCCACCCTCGACATGAATGGCCCACCATTATAAACCATCGGGTGAGGGAAAAATGAAAAAGCAATCATGAAAGGCTAACATAGCCCAGGCAGGGCAAAAACCAGCCTGGATTCTACTTCGCAGCCAGCAAATGACTCACTTGATGGCCATGACTGAATCCAGCCCTCGAGTGTCCCACTGAATGGCCTTAAAGTCAATCAAAAGAAAATTAAAGTACATTAGTGACAGGAGACAGTCCCCCAAATGCTGAAAGGCAAAACTTTAAAAGAAACTCCAAATATAAACCTTCATAAGATCCGCCCTAGGTTAGCGGAGGTCTGGACCTTGTTAATGAAGTAAGACCTGTGTCCCCTTGTGGGATGTCACAGCTGCTGTGAGGCTGAGAGCTTAGAGCTCCAAGGGAAAGCATCACATCAAGATGTGTTCCCAAGGTGTGCCAAGGATATTGCCCATACCCTACAGTCACCAGAGGGGATTCCTGAAAGCGCCCAGATCTCCTGACAGAGAATCTTTGGGGGCAGGTCTGGAATCTGCATTTGTGATCTGTCTCCCCAGTGGTTCTGCACACTGACATTTGAGAAGTGTTGATACAGAGCCCAGGGGAGGACTCAGGCCCATCCCTGATGAGCATTTGGAAATGTTCCAGAGGGGAGGGGTGCAGGGCTGCTGGGTTCAGCTGGTGCAGTCTCCCCATCTTTGGTTGAAATGAGCTTGCTCCTTGTCTCTCCAACCCTCCGATTAGCAATTGCTGATTTCCAAAACCTTCTTCCCCCGTGCTTCCCAGTTGGTCATAGAGGTTTCCAGGAATTCCCATTGAACATGTAATTTTTGCATATGAATTTCAGGTTCTTGCTGAGTTTTATTTTTACTGCAGACATGGGAGTGGTGAGCCGGAACTGCACGGAGGATGGCTGGTCGGAACCCTTCCCTCATTATTTTGATGCCTGTGGGTTTGATGAATATGAATCTGAGACTGGGGACCAGGTGAGTGTCTGCACCCTGCTCCCCAGAGGCGGTGAGGGCAGGGCTGAGGAACCTCAGGTCAGGAGGCAGCATTCATCAGCACCTGCTGGAGCTGAGAAGCAGCTGTGATGCTGCCTGTGCTTCCCATCCTGGCTACTCTTCCAGGATGCTGGGTTAATGCCAGGCCCAGCAGGGGGCTTCCTGGACCTTTATGCAGGCCAAGGCTGCTGTCTGTTCTGATTGGACAGTACTCTTGCCTTCATCAGCATCTATTGAGCATCTGCAGAATGCTGACACTGTGCAAAAGGGAGTAAGAGGCTTGGCCGGGGGAGGAGAGGTGGTGGAGATGAGATCAGCAGAAGAGAGGAAGGAGCTAGGCCTGGAGGTGGGCAGGCCCTGGCCTGGGAGACTGGGTGCAGGCCCGAGGCGGGCTGGCTGGGGGCAGGTCTCACATGAAGCCCTGTATGTCCTGTGCCCTGTCCAGGATTATTACTACTTGTCGGTAAAGGCCCTCTACACGGTTGGCTACAGCACGTCCCTCGTCACCCTCACCACTGCCATGGTCATCCTGTGTCGCTTCCGGTGAGACCCCCAGCAACATTCAAGCAAGCGCCAGAGCTGGCCAGGGCCTCAGAGGCCTTGGTCCATGTCTCCCCTACCCACTTGATGTCAGCCCTAAGAGGCCCCTTGGAAGGCATTTCCCCCACCCCAAGGATAACAGATGGGAAACTTCACCCCAGAGAGAGTAACTGACATGTCCAGGGCTACGCAGCCAGGCAGAGCTGGGGCAGGAGATCTGCATTCCTTGCTCTTGTGTTCATGGTCTAGATAGACAGAGGCCACAGGAGGGAGAAGTCTGGCCATGTGGGGTAGTGGAGCTGGATTATAGGGGCCTGGGGGTCAGTGAGGATCTAGAGAGGTGGCAGGAAGGAGGGTGGCCTGGGTGGGAGACCTGCTGAGATAAAGCCACAGAGTTGGCCCATCGCAGATGCCCACATGGAGGGCGTGAGATGCTGTGGGGTCCAAAGCTTCTTTCTACCTGGCCCACTCCTGTAGGAAGCTGCATTGCACACGCAACTTCATCCACATGAACCTGTTTGTGTCATTCATGCTGAGGGCGATCTCCGTCTTCATCAAAGACTGGATTCTGTATGCAGAGCAGGACAGCAACCACTGCTTCGTCTCCACCGTGAGTGAGCTGAGCAGGCCAGGAGGGCTCTGCCGGGAAGGCCCCGCACCATTCCCCTGGTTCTCCAGGATGCACATTACCTTCCTGACACCCTGCAGGTCAAGTGTGTTCCTATAGGTGAAGGCATTGCCCCACCACCCTTGGTTTATGTGAAAACTCAGGAATCAAGTTACTAGTAGCCGATGAGCCAATGTACATCATCACTTCCAGCCAAAATGCTTCCTGCCCCTTGGCCTGAGTGTTGTATTTGGTAAGGCAGTGGAGGAAGGTCAGGTGGGAACGCCAAGTCCCACTTGACTGAGGTGGAAATTCAGGCTGAGAGAGGGCTTACCCAGCCCTTGGTCATTTAACTAGCCTGGAATGGAGCCCAGGTGCTGATTGGCCAGGGGTCTATTCCAGACACCTTCCCAGGTCTCATACCTCTAGAGGAGGTGGCATGAGGAGAAGCTGGGCTTTGAGGAGGAGGTAGGTTAGGAAGAACAGTGTAAAGTCCAGGCCTTGACCAGGAGGACATGTGTGGGGGACCTCCATGAGTAGAGATTTCTGGAGGCCAGGAATATAGATGTCCCTGCTTGAAAGGTGTCCAAATCCTCATTATAGTAAGGAGCCTCCTGCAGCGTCCTCTTGGCTGCTTCTCTCCCTCCTCTCCGCTGAGGGAGATAGGGAAAGAGGAGGAAAGTGAAGGGGAGTGCGCTGGCAGTGGGGAGGCCTGTGTCTGCCATCGTCTTCATCCTGTGTGTGCAGTTTTGCCTCCATGGGCAGCTTTGACTCAGAATCCTGGGATGCTGTAGTTTCAACTCTTTGATCCAGGAATGTCGACTCTCTTAGATCCTTGGGCTGTTTGAGTCTGAGCATGCCAGAGCCAGCATGCCAGAATCCAGGCTCTAGGATTTTTCCCTGCTCCCATTCCTGTTGGTCTCACATCCCTCGCCCTGATGCTTCTCCTTGCAGGTGGAATGTAAGGCTGTCATGGTTTTCTTCCACTACTGTGTCGTGTCCAACTACTTCTGGCTGTTCATCGAGGGCCTGTACCTCTTCACCCTGCTGGTGGAGACCTTCTTCCCTGAAAGGAGATACTTCTACTGGTACACCATTATTGGCTGGGGTAGGTTCCTGGCTACTTGGACAGGCTCAGGCCTCATGGCCAGGTGTGTCCTTGGTTCCGCCTTCAGGAAGTGTCAGGTGAGGAGGGCTGCCCTGCCCTAGGCTAATGGCCTGGGCTCTTTCTTGGACTCTTTCTCGTTCTTCTTGCCTGTGGAAAACCCACTATCTGAGGGAAGAGCTATGCCCAGGAGTCCTCTGAGAAACAAGGTAGCCCTTGGTCCAAGGAAGATATCAACTCTCAGGAGGCCTGGGTGTGAGGGACAGTTAGAATTCCCAGGAATTCCACGTCTCATGGCAGAGCGATAGCCCCCGGGAGCCCCTGGTCTGAGGCGGACATTGGACATGTTGGTTTTTCTGTTGTCATGGACCTCTTTTTCTTGTTCTCTCAGGGACCCCGACTGTGTGCGTGACGGTGTGGGCTACACTGAGACTCTACTTTGATGACACAGGGTTAGTACATGCTCGAGAGTCAGGGCCACAGCACAGAGTAGATTCTTACAGATGGGTTCTCAGTGGCTGCCCTGACTTCACATGAACTTCCCCCAAGAAACCATTCAATTCCAGGCCCAGACTAGAGCCCAGCACTGGGCACCACCTGAGCCCTGGCTCCATGCAGGTGACCCATCCAGCTGTATCTCGGCCAGAAATCCAGCAAGAGAATGTGCTAGGTTTCTGAGCCCTTTTAACTTCTGCACTCAACTCTGAGTGTCTGCTTTTCTTTTAGGGAGGGGAGGAAGCATGTTAAGGGGGAGGTCACACCCTATGAGCTGTAGGACTCACAGGGAAAAATGGTCCTTTCCCAGGTGCTCATTGGTGATCCTGAGTTTAGGGCTTCATGCCCTGCCTCGATAAGTGAGTGGAGGGAAAGATAGAGGCTCAGAAGGAGGGGATTTTCAGAGCCAGGACCAGGCTGGAGTCTGCAGCCCCACTTTCTGCAGGGCCGAAAGTGTTGGGCTCCCAGCTAGGTGGGGCAGTGTCCTTCAGACATCCACACCGCCGACTCATGGATGCGATCTCGTTTCTCTCTGTCCATCTTTCAGCTGCTGGGATATGAATGACAGCACAGCTCTGTGGTGGGTGATCAAAGGCCCTGTGGTTGGCTCTATCATGGTGAGTGTCCTTGGGATAAAGAGGAAGGGAAGAGACGGGGTCCTGGGGAGCAAGGCACAAGAGGAAGAGAAATGAAAGAGTCCCTACACAACCTAGCTTCCTTCTGTCATTGTAGTCTGTAACAGGGATGCACAAACTATTTAGCTATTTTCTTAACATTAGAGATTTATACTGTTCCATTTTCCTCATTACAAAAAATAGAAATAGTTTCGTGCATAATTTTGAGCATGTGGAAATATTTCTTTAGAATAAACCCTTAGAAGTGGAATTGCTGGGTCAAAAGGGGTAGAAATTTAAAGTTTCAGATCCCAAATCGCTTTGCAAAAACCCTTTAACAATTTATGCCTCCTCAGGAAGAGCGGCTCATTTCCCCATTTCATTATCTATACTTATAATATCAATCATTTAATTTTTGCACAGGCTAATGGAGGATAATGCTGGCTCATCATTTTGATGTACGTTTCTCCGTCTTGCTGGTGTGACTGAGCATTTGTTTCCAAACATTGACAGTTTGTTTTTCTTGTGAATATTCCTATTTATCTTGTTCAGTTTTCTATCAGATTTTCTTAGTTACAGTTGAAAGGATAGTTAACACTTCCTTTGTTGCATATGTAAGTATATTTCCATTTCTGCATAGCATTTGCACAGACAAATGGTCAAGATTTCTCTTAGTGAATTCCAAGCCTTATTTCTGGTTGATGGAGGCCTTTTCCAACCAAGATATAAAAAGATTATTCTTGTCCACTTTTTGTGGACTATTACATGTGCATCTTTAATCCAGCTGAAATTTTATTGTTTTGTCTGTTCTGAAATGATATTCAGTTTTATCTAATTTTTTCAGTGGATGGACATTCTACCCTCTCAATCCTTTTTATTGAAAAGGATTATGTTGAAAGGTCATTTTATTATAAACCCTCAATATACTGGTCTTTGGTTCCAGACTTTCCATGTTACTAATCTATTTGTCCATTCCCATGGCAGATGCACCATTATGCTAGTTACTGTAACCTTGTAGCATGTTCTGGTATGCAGATTTTCCCTTTGTTATTCTTTTGCTTCCTTCAAATTTTCCTTGCACGTTTACTCTTTCTGGTGTACTTTTGAATATCCTTGTCAAGTTGCACCAGAAAGTCTAGTTAAGATTTGTATAGGAATTGCACTGCATTCACAGACTAATTTGGAGGAGAATTTATGTTCTTAAAAGATTGAGTCATCCTCTCCAAGAATGTGGCATGATTCTCCATGTATTCAGTCTTTTCTTATAGAGTTAAGCTTTTTAGTTTTCTTCCTTGTTCTTGTTATGTTTACCTCTAAGGTGTTTTCCAGTTTGGGCTTTAAGTGGGTCTAGGAATCATTCTTTCATTGTATTTTCTAATGGGCTATTGCTGCGTTAAGGGAAAGCTATTGATTTTTATGTATTGTGTCTTTTCTTAATTATGTTTCTGAACTTTTTTTCTTTCTTTTCAGTTGGTTTTCATGAAATTTCTAGGTAGAAAATTATATAATCTTCAAATGAAAATAATTTTTGCTCTTTCATTCCAGTGTTTACATCTTCTAGCCCTTGTTTTTCATAGGGATGGTGTTTGCTCTAGTTTTGGCGGTTACCCTTCATCGAATTGGGAAAGTTTTTCTTCTTGCCTTGTTTCTTTTTTCTTTTAATAATCAGGAATGGGTGTTGAATTGTATCAAATGTGTTTTGGAGACATTCATTGAAGTAATCGTTTATTTAGTGATGGACATTTATAGCATTTCAGTTTTCCTTCATTACAGACAGTGCTACAATGAATACATTTATGCATATCTTGAACATATGTGAATGTCTTTAGAATAAATCTCAACAGTGGAATTTCTGGGACAAAGGGTATGTCCATTTAACATGTTCATGCAGATCAGATTGCTCTGTATGAGCAAGCTACAAGAGCGCCAATTTCCCATGTCTTCGTTGATGTTTCTGCTACTGAATTATACTTGCTGGTCTTATGGGGATAATGGAAGCTTATTGATTTAATTGGTTATTGTAACAAATATTAGATTTTTGGAGGCGCATTTCTGGGATAAAACCTTTATTAACATGATCTGCATATTCTTTTACTATGTTGCTAAATTTTCTTAATATTTTGTTTAAATTTTTTGGCATCGTTCTTCATAAAGTTCTATGGTCTTAGGTACATGGGTTGTGTGCATCTGTGTATTTTCTCTCCTTATTTTGTTTTTGTAGCAAAATTTTGTTAGCCTCATTGGTAATCCAGAGGTTTACTTTTTTTTATTTGCCTTGAAACAGTTAAGCAGTATGTAAATGATATCTTTCTTAAAGTTATTCTGGAACTGGTCTATAAAATTATGTGAACCTGGTACCTTTTAATGCATACATCTTAAACTACTTTTTAATTTCTTCTGAGGTTATTGCTCTTAGATTTTCTGTATCTTAAGTTAATTTTGTCAATTTTTATTTTCCCATTTTGTTCCGTTTTCTCTCATCATTTAAAATACTGTGTATATCTATTGCCTTGCCCTCTTTCTCATTCCTAAATTTGTATAATTAGATTTTCTCCTTTTTCATTGACTAACACATACAGTTAGAAGTATTTACTAAATACAAGACATTGCTTTTTTCCCTTTGTTTTAAAATATTTCCAAATTTTATTTGAGATCCAGGGAATACATGTGCAGGTTTGCTATGTGGGTATATCACATGATGCTGAGGTTTCTGGGTACAATTGATCCCATCAGCCAGGTAGTAAGCATAGTGCCAAATAGTTTTTCACCCCCTGCCCCATCCTTCCTCTCTGTCTAGTCATTCCCAGTATCCATTGTTGCCATCTTTATGTCCATGAGTACCCAAAGTTTAGCTCTCACTTCTAATTGAGAACATGTAGTATTTGGTTTTCTGGTTTCTATGTTAATTCATTTAGGATAATGGCCTCCAGCTGCATCCATGTTGCTGCAAAGGACATGGCTACATTCTTTTTATGACTGTGTAGTATTCCATGGTGTATGTGTGCGACATTTTCTTTATTCAATCTGCTGTTGATGGGCACCTAGGTGGATTTCATGTCTTTGCTATTGTGAATAGTGCTGTGATGAACATCAAATGCATGTGTCTGTTTTGTAGAATGATGTATTTTCCTTTGGGCATATACTCAGTAATGGGATTGCTGGGTCCAATGGTGGTTCCGTTTTAAGTTCTTTGAGAAATCTTCAAACTGCTTTTCATGGTGGCGGAATTAATTTACATTCTCACCAACAGTGTTTAACTGCTCCCTTTTCTCTGCCACCTCCCCAGCATCTGTTGTCTTTTTGCTTTTTAGTGATAGCCATTCTGACTGGTGTGAGATGGTATCTCATTGAGGTTTTGATTTTCATTTCTCTGATGATTAGTGATGTGGAGCATTTTTTCATATGGTAGTTGCTTGCATTTTTTTGGAGAAGTATCCCTTTATATCTTTTGCCTACTTTTTAATGGGATTATTTATTTTTTGCTTGTTGAATTGAGTTCCTTATAGATGCTGGCTATCAGACCTTTGTTGGATGAATAGTTTACAAATATCTTCTCCCGTTCTGTTGGTTGTCTGTTTACTCTGTTGACAGTTTCTTTTGCTCTGAAGTTTAATTAGGTCCAACTTGTCAATTTTTGGTTTTGTTGCAGTTGCTTTTGAGGAGATAGCCATAAATTCTTTCCAAAGGCCCATGTCCAGAATGGTGGTGTCTAGGTTTTCTTCTAGAATTTTTATAGTTTGAGGATTACATTTAAATTTTTAAATCATCTTTAGTTAAATTTTGAATATGGTGTAAGGAAGGGGTCCAGTTTCACTCTTCTGTATATGGTGAACCCCTGATCCCAGCATCATTTACTGAATAGGGACTCCTTTCCCCTTTGCTTATTTTTGTTTAAGCTGAACATGTAGCAGAGAACAAGACTGACAGAATCCTGCCCTCATGGAACATATTTTGTCATTCAATTGATCTGTAAAAACCAACAAACAAGATAAAAGCACAACTAAAACTTTATTTTTGTTGATCAGTTCTACTTTTTCTTATAATTTTTTATCATTTTAAATTTCTTATATAAGTTACTTTTGTGGTAATCTTTCCCTAGCTTTTGATTTGAATGATTAAGTGTTTTTCAGTATTTATTGTTTTCAAATAAGTTTTTGGCTCTTCATTTTTTTTTCTCCCAGGGCTGCTTTGGCTATGCCCCAAAGATACTGAATTGTAGTCCTGTCATGGTGCCTTGTTTCTATTTCTTTGCTCCTCTTCCTCCTCCTCTGTCACTGTTCACATAGCTTCCTACTTTGTTTAGGAAGCTTTTGTCCCCAGTCTATCTGAAGGCAATGCTGCTATTTCTACTCCCAGGCAGCCCTTTAATTAGCATTGCTTATGGCTATCCATTCTGGTTCCCCATCTTTGATGGCTCTGTACTTGGAATTTCTCTAGAGAGCAACTCTCACTTCTGCAATAGCCTTACTTTATCTCTTTTGGGCTGTAGTTTTCCCATCACCCTGATCTTATTTTCTTTCTCTTTTAGAAATAGCTTACTTTTCTGGCTTACTCATGATGTCCTTTCCTATTTCCCATATTCCTATGAAGTTCTTTTTCTTCTATCTCTTCCATCATTTCAATGATACTACGGGAGGCTGGGGAGATAAATGCCGCCAGCTGGGGCATTTATAAATGCTGGGGAATTATTATGCCACCATCTTGGACTAGAAATGTAGATGGGATCCTGACTAGGTGGGAAAATAATAGCCTATGCTGAGGTAGAGAAGGTCTTTGCCCAGAATCATGTCCATCTTTTTTTTTTTTTGCTCCTCAGGTTAACTTTGTGCTTTTTATTGGCATCATCGTTATCCTCGTGCAGAAACTTCAGTCTCCAGACATGGGAGGCAATGAGTCCAGCATCTACTTGTAAGTACCATTGTGTGGATGCCACAGCTATTTCTGACAGCCACATGGGCCCTGCATTCAGGTCACAGGCAGAAGAAGGCTTTACTGATAGGGTGGCCTAGCATTGGCATTTCCAGATCTTCTTCTGATTAAGGAGCCTTTAATATAGTTTCCCTTCCAGCCTTCAGCCAACTCAGGAGCTCCTCAGCTGCATGGCCATCGTATGGATGGGCGGGGGGGGGGGGGGGCGGGCGGGGAGAGAGAGAGAGAGAGAGAGAGAGAGAGGCAGACAGAGCCTGACAGAGACTGACTAGGAAAGTCAAGATGGAAAGCACCAGATTTCCTAGGGGAGTTAGGGATCTTGGTTGGTTAGAAGTTGAGTTTCCTTTGGGGTTCCTATTTCTGTGGGAAGCTCATGAATACCATTGAATACACTGTTGCCCGATATTCTCACCCCCAGCCCAGACTGTGGAAGTTGCCTAGTTTCCACTAGCGAGTCGGGTGGACACATTCTCACTGATCTGGGTGTTGGAAGCGGGGTACTTTCTCTCCTCCACTGGCTCTAGGGGCAGCTCTGCCTCTCCATGTGGTTCTGTTCCTTCAACTCCTTCCTTCCTTCCCGAGGAACATCTGATTCGTTGGGGATTATTGGGTTAGAGGGCAGCCTCTTACCATAGAGTGTAGGGCTTTCTCCACTTTCATGGCCATTTGATTTCTAAGAAGTATTTCTGGAGTCATGTCCCTAAGATCCTATCTTTGCCTGCCCTTCCCCACTTCTCTCTCCGTCCTGTCTCATATCTGAAATCAGACAGAGCACCTTCCACCTTCCACCTCTGGCCTTGTGAATGGGAACATGACCAGCTGGTTGTGTGGGGTATGGGGACATTCTGATGCTGGGGAGGAAGGTTGGTGGCCCCCTGTGGTTTGCTGGAGGGGTGGATGGGCAAACTCTGGTTCTGAGGGCAGTCCCTGGGGTCCATCCATTGATAAGGCAAAAGCCCTATGTGTGGCTTCCTCCACTCCTTTGGAAGAAAGTGGGTGAGGAGGAGCTGAGGTATCTTCACTGGGTGGATCATTGGGTGCATGGTCATGCCTTCATCACATACCCCAACCTGGGGTCACAACTTTGATGGCTGCCCAGTAGATGACAAGTGGGACAGTGAGAGATCCCAGTACAGGGCTCCCCAGGACCCCTTCCTCAGCCATTCTCCTAGAGGGAGAGGCAGGAACTGCTCAGAGACCACATCCTAGATTCTTCCCTAAGGATCCTTGGGGCTTCCTCAGGGAGGAGGAGCTTGCTCTTGGTCTGTCAGTCTGTTCAGCCTGGGTACCTCCCCGTGTGGAAGCCCTTCCTCAGGGGTGGAGGACTAGCACAGGGCCTGGGATATTCAGCCAAGTTTTCTCTGCCTATACAACGATTACATTACGTTAGACAATAAGTTTTTTTTTTTGCTGTCCATTTACTGTTTTTCTTTTCTTCATGTTTTTCAAGTTTCCCACTTCTCTCTCAGCCCTGTCTCAATTCTTGCTTATATGTATATATTATATAGTAGAAAATTATTCATCAATATAAGTCATAAAGTCTTAGAGGCCCTGCACTGTGAGGTAGAGGGCCAGCCCTCTGCTACTATATAACCTGCCCTAGAGAAATCACTCCTGCCTTCATCTCAAGGATTTACAAAATAGGGCTCCGCTGCTCCCCTTGCCTCCTGTCTAGTGTTGGACACTGCCCTTCTGTCTGGCCTTAGTTTCTCCTGCTTGGGTGTGGATTGGGGCACACACTAACAGTTGTCTCCCATATTTGAAGCTGGCAAGGAGCTAAGTCAACCTCATCTTTCATTTGAGCTCTAGTGGTCTTGATTTCCTCCCCTTCCTGGTAGGATTTGTTCTAATGGGGACCCTCAATGTCTTCTCTGGGGGGTCCTCTCAGCTTTCCCTACTAAATAGGATACCCTACTGAAGCCTGAACACAGTTTGCCAGCTCAGACATTCTGGTTTGGGCAACAAGAACCCCTAGGGTCTGGTGGGAAAGAAGTGTGAGCTAAGGTTTCAGGTTCTCCACAGACCAGGAGCTTGAATCTTGTTAGGTCTTCCTAATGCATAGATAAGAACAACTTGTAATTAGCACATGGTTTATACATGTAAGTACTGTATTAATCTGGGACATTTAAAAGAACCAGCTAGTTGGTTTGCTTCTGGCATTAAAAAAAATATATTTTTGCAATCTCAGCAAATCTTTTTTTTTAGAGAAAGCCAACCCTCTGCTAGTCTTGAGCACCCATGATTAAAATCTCACATGGATGAAGTCTGTGAGCCAAGTGGGAGTTCCCACACAGGAGAGGGGATCAGCTTGATCCCATTAAGTCCAGCAGTATGTTTGAGTGCTTCCAGGGTCAAGGAGACCCTGTCAGCCAATATGAGTAGTAATCCAATTGACCACGCTGCTGAGAACTGTAGAGCACTTGGAAACACTCATGACCACATCCACGCACATTTAACACTCGCAAACATCCAGTGAATCTGGTGGAATAGGTAAGCCACTGTTAAATAGAATCACCATTTTACAGCTGAGGGAGTTATCAGTGAAGTGACATGAAGCCTGGAGGCAGGAGGAAGCCACGGCTATGGTGCAGGCAGGCCTTTCACTTCAAGCTGGACAACACCATCGTCCCTGTCCTCAAGGAATTTGCAGATGGAAAGATAACATTAAACAAGTGTACAGAATTAGGCTTCTTGGAAGAAGAGGTCCCTGGTTCTAGCCTGTGTGAAAGCCCCCTCAGCCCAGAGTGCTTGGAAGAGCTGGCTTTGAGCTGGGAGGTGTCTGCACTGGGAGGAGGGGAGAATGCCAGGTGAGGGGAGGTGGAGAGGGCAAGGATTGGTGGCAGAGGGAGATTCCAAGGCTGTGCCGGAGTCCCCTTGGGAACCAGAGTTATGTGTGGGACCGAGAAGCCCCTTCAGATCTGCCCACAACAGCTCTCCGGTTTTTTCCTCTTGTTTCCAGAACAAATTTAAACCCGCGAGTCCCCAAGAAAGCCCGAGAGGACCCCCTGCCTGTGCCCTCAGACCAGCATTCACTCCCTTTCCTGTAGGTTGGTTCCAGCTGCTCAGGTGATAAGGGTTTGTCCTCCATAGATCAAGACGGTGTTCGTGGCCCAGCCTCAGAAGCACCTGTTGGGATCTGGGGCCTCTGCAGGGGGACAGTGGCACTGAGCCACCCATCCTCCCTGACCTGATGCTCCAGGTAGAATGAGTGGCTGGGGACAGGACTTGGGCAGTGGGCATCAGGGTTGGGCCAGGGCTCAGCATGTGCTCAGGGTTAACTTGGTCTGGGGCAGGGGTGAGGGCTTAGCCCTCAGCTGGGGTTGGCACTCAGCCTCAGGCAGGTCTGGCCTAACTGGAGTTGACCTCTACAAGCAGGTAACTGGTTCAGAAAGGGGAGAGGTGAGGCTTCCAGGGTAGACATTGACTGTTCAGGGAGGGCCTCCGCCCCCTGCCTTGAAGTGAACCGGCTTTACTCCAGGGGCCTCCTCCCTGGAAGACAGACATCGGAAGCTGCAGCTTGGGTGGAGGAGGGAAAACCCATCTGTACTCCTGTGGGGTCTCCTTGGCCCCACTGGGGAGGATGCACACATCTCTGAAGGTGGCTGTGCTGGGGCCAGGCAGGCAGCTTTCAGTCTAGGCTTCCTTCACAGCCAGAGCCTTCCAGTGCACATAGGCTCCATCTTCCACTTCCATGCACCTCCTTCCCTGCCAAGGCGCACCCAATCCTCAAAGTTCATGTTACGGCCTAGCAGCAGCCAATCGTTACCCTCATGTTGCAGAAAGAGAAACTGAGGCCCAGAGAAGGAAAACGGAACCACCTAGGATGACCCAGCAGTCAGTTGCCAAGCAAAACCTTGAGCTCAGGTGCCCAGACTTCCCAGCTGGTACACTCCAGGCTGGCTGTGAGCATGGAGGTGTGGCTTGTCCTCATGGTTGATAAGGGGGTGGTGGTAGGCAGGAAGTTCCCCAGATCTGTGAGCTGTGCTTCTAGCTGGGGTGCCAGTGTGGTAGGGAGTACTTCTGGGACTGGGCAGCGCTCTGGGGGTGCACAGCATTTTAGCATCAAGAGAGATCCTATGGAGTGTGTTCAGCTCAGTCTGCCACATTCTGTGGACTACCACGTGGCCAGACCATGCTGATCCCTAGGATTGCAGACATGAAGAAGACAGGGATGCTTCCTGCAAAGGGCTCCCTGCAGGTGTCTCTGTCTAGCGTTCCTCTGGGTGTTTCCCAGGGCTATAGCCCAACTAGCCTTGCATACGAGGACTATGGAAGCATTTCTGGAGTTTGACCCTCATAGAAACCATGTGCTGGATCCCTGGCTGACAGATGTGAGTGCTGAGACATGGAAATGGCTGTGACCTTCCTGTGGACAACACAGTGAAGTCATGGTGGAGCCAGTCCTGGAGGCCAAGGCTTCCCGAGTTGCAGACATGGAGGTGGACCCTGCACCTGTGATGGGGTCTCCCACCTTCCGAGTCAGGCTGCTGTGCTCTCCAGACAGCCCCACCCACCACCCTTGCCTGAGCTGTTATCCTCTCTTGAATCCAGCTCAGAATTTATCGCATCAGCCAGTCTAGGTTCATCTCTTCTTCTTCACTTAATTTATTTTCTCTTTTCTCTAATTGTCCTGAGTTTCCAGAGATTCTGAAATCTTTCCTTCTCCCACCCCTGTCTTTGGCTTTTCTGCATGATTTGTTCTTTCTTCTCCATGAGTCCTTTTGTGCAGAGCCACTGAAGGTTTGGGGAAAGCTGTTCCTTAGACCCGTCTTCTTCAAGAGCCCTCCAGGGCTAGTTCTCCCCCAAGCTGCTTGTTGATCTGCCTTCTCCCACCCCTACTAGAGCCACACAACTTCACCAGGTACAGGGTTTCCCAGTGAACTTGTCACTAAATGGTCTTTAGAATACTTTCAGAGAAGTCTGTGTTTACCATAGAAACATCTGGGGTCCAAGAGGGACAGGAACAATCTGAAGCTAAAGAAAGCAGGGCTGCAGAGGAGAACTTTAGAATTTAGAGTGAGAGTTTAAGCTTGACATGGAGGAGGCAATGGTTGAAGTTGGGGGTCTCTTGGACCCCGATTTCTGTGGTTTACCCAAGCCAAGGTTGAGGGTCCCTGGCCATAGGAGAGACTAACCTAACCAAGTTTTTTGTTGTTTTGAGACAATCTTGCTCTGTCGCCCAGGCTAAAGCACAGTGGTGCGATCTTGGCTCCTTGCAACCTCTGCCCCATGGGTTCAAGCAATTCTCCTGCCTTAGCTTCCCAAGTAGCTGGGTCTACAGGAGCCTGCCACCATGCCTGGCTAATTTTTTGTATTTTAGTGGAAATGGAGTCTCACCACATTACCCAGGGTGGTCTCAAACTCCTGAACTCAGGCAATCTGCCCACCTTGGCTTCCCAAAGTGCTGGAATTACAGGCGTGAGCCCCTCCACCCACCCTGAGACTAACCAACTTTTCAGCTTGGACAAGATAGATAATAAATTTGAAGAATAGAATAACTACTATTTCTGTATACCCAGTTAAGCTCTTTTAATGATTGAGAAAAACATACTTATTTGAATCGGTCTCTGTATGTGTATGAAACATATCTTTGACATTCATTGAGGAATCATGAAGAACCTTCTCAGACGAATACCACCTAACAGCGCTTCTCAAGCTTTGGCATGCATGTGGATCCCCCAGGGATCTTGTTAAAATGCAGATTCTGACCACAGGTCTGAGGTGGCACCTGGGAATCTGCATTTCTAAGAAGCTCTCAGGTGGTGTTGGGATTGATGGTCTGGGGACCGCAGTCAGAGTAGCAAAGCATCAAACCAAACCTCACCATTTCTGTTCTGGAAAAGGGGATCTGTAGTGCCCACCTCACAGTGGGATAGGAATTGCAGGGTGCTGTTTATTGAATGAGAACCCCAAACCCATTATGCACAGATGCAGGGAGGCCTGGGCTTGCCCCATTTTGGAAGTGTGACACAAATTCTGCCCTCAGCAAAATGACATGTCACCACCTGTCAGGTAACTTCAGGCTTACTCTTAAGGAGCTGGAATCACATAAGGCAGATCCTGAATGCCAAGGGTGTGGTCTCTGTATCTGTCCTCATTTGCATCATGTCTAATCTGATTTATTAATTCACTGGCCAGCACCAGGAACCTCAGAGCCATGTGGTACCTGGGGAAAGTCAGCAAAGTAGATATTCTCTTGCAGTCAGAAAAGATGACACAACTCTTCAGCTACCTCTGACACATCTGTTAGAGAAGGGAAAAGTGTCCATGGCTTGTGCCAGCCTAAGCCCAAGCAGGACCACGGTGGGCAGGAGAGCCCTCCCTGAGGAGATGGAAGGCCTGGGTCCACCCAGGAGAATGTAGAGCAGGACTGCAGCCTGGGCCCCTCTCCTTGAGGTGGTTTTTTTCCTGCAAGCCATGGGGCAGGCTCCTGTCAGTCTTCAGTCTCTGCCCATTGAACTTTTATCAAGAACTCCCTGCAGTGATGGAAGTGCCCTATGTCTCTGCTGTCCAGTATGATAACCACTAGCCCCATGTGGCTGTTGAGCCCTTAAAATGTGGCCAGGACAACTGTGGATGTGAGTTAATTTGGCTAATTTAAATTCAGATAGTCACATATGGGTAGTGGCTGTTGTATTGGAATAGTTTAGGTCTGGAAGAGTGAACAATCCATTCAATCTGACTTACCTCTGCCCCCTATGTATGTGCCGATTCTGAGTTGCTGGGGGGCTCAGAGGGAGGAAGCTATGGACCAGAGGAGAGGGAGAGGGTAGAGGGGAAACATCAGTGGACACCCAAGTTGACCTTCACAGCCAAGCCCAGAACTGGCCTGATTCAAGGCTCAGGCTGCCTGTGCCGGGCAGTGCAGAAGGTCCACAGTGTGAGTTTCCAGTTCTCATCTTGAGTGGGACGACGCTGTGCTCTAAGCTTGTAACCAACTGTGGAGGCAGCCTCTGGCTCCCTGTGTGAGAACCAGCCCAGGCCACCTCCTGAATACACGTTTCCTCTAAGCCCACCCACCTATCACTGGCCTCAGTGTGAGTGCTTGTGTGTATGTGCGTGTGCGGCCATGCACACTCATGTCCACGTATAGGCGTGCGTTTCTCTGTCCATAGCTGCCCATGTCTTGGCCCTCGGCTCCCTCATTCTCCTCCACATGACTGCCCTGGCCCTGTTTCCATATCCTCCTCTTTTCTGCCTTCCCTGTAAACTGAGTGTCCCCCAGCTGACAGAAGTCACTGCCTGGTGCCCCCCAGCTGACAGAAGTGCTAATCTTGTCACACCCAGCAGCTGCGTGCAGAAATGCTACTGCAAGCCACAGCGGGCTCAGCAGCACTCTTGCAAGATGTCAGAACTGTCCACCATTACTCTGTAAGTGTGCGTGGCTCAGGCTGTGGCCGGGAGTCCTGATGGGGTGGGGGACGCATGCTGCCACTGCCGCTGCTGGAGGAGAGTGGAGAGCCGGCCTGTGCCTCCTAGCCCCAACCCATTCCCAGCTGTTGCATGTTGGTGTCTGTGTGTCTTGTGAGTTCTCTACAGCCTCGTGGTCATGGGGTGGGTTGGTAGGGTGTGGGTTTGGAGCTGCGGCAGTTGTGGGTGCTTCCTGAGGAGGCAGCAGCCCTGCATTCTCCGCTGCTGCTACCTGGTGCGTGGTCGTGCTCAGTCCCCAACTTCTCTGAGCTTCAGTGATTTCAACTGCAAAACTATTTCCAAGAGTCTTAGAGCCTGAGTTCATATAGACCTTCCCCTGCACAGGGAAGGGAACTTCACTCCAGCGTTCATGGCACTTTGTGTGTGAGTCAGCATTAACTCACTCAATCCCCATGACTCTGTGAGCTGGGTCCTTGTATCATCACCGTTTACAGATGATGAAACTGAAGTGCTGAGAGATGACGTCACTCACTCAAGGACCCCCTAATTAACAGAGGGAGGATTTGAACCCAGAGAATCCTAAGCACTTTGCCCCAAGGAGTCTATGGCTGGAATAGCAGACTCAATTTGGACGTCTCTTTTGCTAAAGGTGCCGTTGTCCTCCTGGGCAGCCCACTATAATTTGGGCATCTCTGAGGCCCTTCTTGGTATTTTAGAACTCTTCTGCCCATTGCTGGCTCCTTAGGGCAGGAGGACGAGGCCTGGGCCCTGTGTCATTATGGATAGTGGCTCACATCATATGCTCCCATTCCAAGACCTCGGTCAGCTTCGAAGCACAGTCCCAGGACCCCGGACTCTAGAGACACCTTGTCTGTCCCCACTGCCTCATCTGCCAAAGGGGTCACCAGAATGCCTTGGCTCCCCAGAAGAAGTTCCTGACTGTTCTGGGGCTGCTGCAGGGCTGCTGGGGAGGAAAAGTGTTGGCCTCTGACTGTGCTGCGGGATGCACTTGCTACCATCCCTGCACCCACCTTGTGACTGGGAAAGGCCTGAAAGGTCACAGTTTCTCACACTCTGAATCCATCCCATGTGATGCCACCACGGAAGCTGGAGAGACTTGACCTCTTGGTTTCCAGGGCCCCTTTCAGACTGCAGGGACAAGTACTTGGAAATGGTCCCTCCTGTGGGAACGGAGGCCAGGAAGAGGAAGGCAGGGGCACAGGCATGTTCTGAGGCCAGCTTCCTTTCCTGGGCTCCTTCACTAGACAGCTTTTTAAAAGTAGCCCCTGTGGTTAGGGCCACAGAGGGGTCCCCAGGACATCCATGTCCCTGTTTCTGGCCATTTTCCTATGCACTCCTGACTTTCATTCCTTCTACAAACACTCCCTGTTGCCTTCTGGCACCAGGCACGGGCAACTAGAGATGAACAAGACCTGAGTGCCCAAGAGGGAATTCAGTTTTGAGGATTCTGAGGCTCTCATGCCAGGCCTGTGTGCTGTATGGATTTCTTCATGGAACAGGCATTGTCCCAGCATCAGTTCCCTGCCCCAGATAAATGAGGCACCACCCCACCTTCAGGGAGCTACGGTCAGAGACAGACAGATAAGAGGAAGGCTAGAAGGATGGACCGGTCAGGATCACATCTGGGCTCAGCACTGACCTGCTCAGATCCTGTTGACCCTTGTCTGTGAGCAGGGCGGGAAGGGATGGGCTCCCACAGTCACGGTCCTCTTCCTTTCCAGGCTGAGCTTCCTCTGCCTGAAGATCTCCTCGGGCTGCCCCTCCTCCCTCTGTGTCTCCTCCTTCCTTCCTTCTCCTCTCTCAGTGTAAGCGAGGAAGTCAAGGGCCTCACACAGACTACAAGAGTTTGGCCTTTAGACCTCCGGAGCTCCTATGTTCAATAGAACATTCTCTTCCAGAAAGGCTGGATGAGGGAGAGAGGGACTTGTGGTGTAATTGCCCCAAATCAAACGGCTCCCCCATGCCTGCTGTCCATACCCTGGGACTTAGGATGGAAGCTGGGGAGGCTGATCCTCTGGAGGAGCTGGCAGGGTGCAGCCTGGGGGCAGGCTACATCTGCAGAGCAGGGCTGACCTCTCTAGGGAGACCCACAGGAGCCAGTGTGCCCACTGTGGGAGAACCCTTGGGAGCACCCCCACATAGAGCAGGTCCCACAAGTTTACATGGTCCCAGTGTCCTAGCTGTGGGGGCTTCTGTGGCCCTGTGCCTTCAGAACAGAGCCCCACCCTGCCGTCAGCCTAGGGCTAGAGGCAGGCAGGCAGGCAGGCAGGCAGGCAGGGGAGCCCCAGGAGAGCTGCCTCAGGAGATATTCTCTAGCCATTTCTCCCCGCCCCGGCCTGCTTCAGACCAGACATTCTCCTCCACCTCTGACTCAGTTTCCTGGCAACAGGCTCCTCCTGCCCAGATGGAGATTACTGATGCCCAGGGTCAGTAAGTTCCTCTTAGGATTGCTCCCGAGTTTCTTCCTCTGTGGTCCACTCACTGTGCCTGCCTTCCTTTTTCCTCCCTGTCGTCAGCACCTCCTCAACACTTGGTGAGTGTCTGGGCTAGCCCCAAACTCTGAAAAGCCAACTGTCTCTGTGGCCCATCCAGGGCTGCTTTCAGGCACAAGGGGCTTCCTTCCAGAACAGGAGAGTGGCTGCTCTGCCCGAGCACCCCGTATTTCCCTCAAGCCTTCTCAGTCTGATCCCTGTGTTTTGTCCTGATTTTGCTTTCCCAAGGGTTTTACATGTCACACAAGGGGTCCTTGTAAATCATGTGCACATTTTCAGTGGTTCTACAGGCTACTGACTGTGTGCCCTGCAGACTGGAGATGCCCCTCCACCCGCAATATCCCAGAGAGTCCTAGCAGACCAGGCCACTTGCACTGGAAGAGAATGCTGAGGGGTCTGTGGACAGGGGACCCAGCTTGGGGAGAGAATAAAGGACTGGGGCCGAGTTTTCTGCCCGCAATGGCTCTGGCCCCGAGCCTTGGAAGTGCCCAGAACAGATGTTTTGCTTTCTCCTGACAGGCGGCTGGCCCGGTCCACCCTGTTGCTCATCCCACTATTTGGAATCCACTACACGGTATTCGCCTTCTCCCCAGAGAATGTCAGCAAAAGGGAAAGACTCGTGTTTGAGCTGGGGCTAGGCTCCTTCCAGGTAGGTGTGGCCCGTGGGGAGGGCAGGACTCACCGGCAGCCAGGGCCGGGTTGTTCACCTGCAGGTGGTGCTGGAGCCTCTTTAACCTGGACTGTGAAATGAGTACTAGAGTAGAGGTGATGAGGGAGCCCTGTCTGCCATCCACCCTTGGGGCTCCTGTAAGAAGACACACTGGTGTCTGGCCATCACTGCATCTGAGTATCCTGAGCCAGCTGCCCCTGCTCTCAGCCCCCACCCTGGGCGACCCGAGGAGACGGTACCTCCCAGCAGCCTGGGGTGCAGGGTGGAGTGGCCTCAAGAGCCCAGCATGTCCACATCCTGATTTCAGCTTTCTAGGCCAAGCCTAACCCCTGGAGTTCTATCCTACCCACATCTAGGTCCCCAGCAGAGAACCCAGCAAGCTGCCCAAGCGCATGAGCAAACAGACATGAGTGAGTGAGGGAATGAGAAGCGGGCAGAATGCTGCCTCTGTGCCTGGAGGAAGGAGTGAATAGACTGGAAATGAGTAAGGGGCTAGGTGAATCACAGTGAGGAATGAGCAGGCGGGAGCAGCAGTGGGCGGATGAAGGCAGGAGCAACTCCCTGGAGTGTCCAGGGATAAAGCACGTCTCCCTAAGCCAGCTGTTTGAATTAGGATTTGATCCTGATGGTCAGAAAGTTACTCTCCATATCTGATTTGACCTCCTTCACCATTTTAATTCACAGCCATTTAACCTGGTCCAGGTTCTTAGTCTGGTGAGACTGAGCATGGGTCTCACCTGATTGCCTCATTGGCTCATAGACAAAGCCCTGGCCCAGGAGTCAGAGCCCAGGGCTCCTGTCCCTGTGCTCACTGGCCAGTTCTGGGGTTCTTGAACTGTCATTCTTCCAATACCTTCAAGCGACAGTACAGAGCACAGGGATTGCAGGGGACTAATTTGCAGTATTCAAGAAAATGCTCCCGCTTTGTTTGGTGTAGATTTAAAGAACACAGAGAATAGCTAAGTGCATACTCTGTACGAAGTACTTGCTCACTCTGTGTGGTGTTCTGCATTGCTGTGTATGAGAGTATCTGGCCCAGGGAGGGCATGGGGAGATGATGGTAGACAAGGATGGCATAGATCTGTTTTGCCCTGGAAGGGTCCTGCCCTCAGAAGCCTGCAGGCTGGTTTTGGAGCCAAGAGAAATTCTAGGGCATTCAGGGAAGGCTTCTTTTAGAAAGTGGGATAAAGCTGGCCTTTGGGAATGGGAAGAATTTGATCAAGGGAATGCGAAATCCAAAGCTAGAATGTATCTGTGGGACAGAACTTGGCCACCAGCCATGTGGCCTCATGGGTGTGCCCATCTTGGTAGAGTAGAAGTGTCTCATCTTACCGCAGACCCCTGGGCAGGTGCCCCCATCCAGATCATGGTGTCTTTCTGCTTCCTGGTGTCACCCCTCCATGCCCCAAACAGCATTTCAGAAGCTCCTTTGCCAGCATCCTCAGGCTCATTTTCTCTATTCCCAGGGCTTTGTGGTGGCTGTTCTCTACTGTTTTCTGAATGGCGAGGTAAGGCCTTGGCCCTCTCGCTTCTTTGCAGTGCGGGTGGGGCTTTCTGGGGAGCAGATGGGGAAGCCACCTGTTGGCCACATGGGACTAACTCCCCCGAGGGGGCTCTGCCAGGTTCCAAGCACTGAGAGGAGGTGCTGCTCACACAGCTACCGGCATTGTGTGGAGCCAGGGCCTCCTGACACCCACACCCTGTGCTGGAATCTGTCCCACTTTGCCTGCTGTGCAGCTAAGGCCCCACCTGAAGAGCAAAGTTCCTGGTAAAAGCATCGGTTCTGCTGAGCACGAATCTCCTGGAGAGGCTCCTCTCCCTTAACACACTCCGTGGTGAGGAGGAACTGACAGTAAGGCAGGGCGGGGCACAGGATACAGGACCTACAGGTCATGAGGCTGTGCTAGGCAGAGCCGCTGCGCCAGGAGGTGTCCAGCACTCAGGGCCATCCCCAGCTGGCTGGCTAGCCAGGCCCAAACTCCCCTGGTAGAGTGAAACTGAGGATTTGGAAGACACCCCAGGGAGAGACCTGGAACTTTCTTGTAATACTCCGTTTTCAGCGCTGTGGTCTGAGGGCTCTCTCTGTAGCCTGTTGGAGTGAAGCCCTTGAGCACAACCCAGAACAGAGGTGCTGGGGTAGGGGTGGGGACTGAATGGCTAGGGTGGGCTTGAGAGTAGGCGGGAGTCTTTGCACCAGAGCTTGGGTCATAGCTGCATCACCTTGCCAGGCTCCTCCCACTTTTTGCATCTGAGGAACAAAGATTGGGCTCTGTGATCACCCAGACAACCTACGGAAGGATCTGATTAGGACAGACAAGACAAGGAGAGGCAGAAAGGTCCCTGCAGGTAGTGGCCGGGAGAGCTCAGAAGTGTAGCTTGTTCAGAACCTGCAGTGGAAGCAGGAGGTAGAACTGGAGAGGGTGGGTGCAGGCGCTGCCTCCAGTTGTGCAGTCTGTGCACTGCACAAAGGCACTTGGCTGAGAAAGTACATGGAGGCTGAGACTCGGCACGGCCCCACCCACCATGCTAAGAGCTACCTGGGTGTGTTTACCCAGAGGGGTGCATTATTTAGCGGTTCCCAACCCTGATTACCCAGTGGAGTCACCTGGGAAGCTTTAAAAAAATACCATGTCTGGGTTCTGTGCAGAGATTTTGATGTAATTGTTCTGGGGTATGGCCTGGGCATCTGGAGTTTTTAAAGCCCCCTCACAGGTGATTCTTTTTTTTTTTTTTTTTTTTTGGTGAGACGGAGTTTCGCTCTTGTTACCGAGGCTGGAGTGCAATGGCGCGATCTCGGCTCACCGCAATCTCCGCCTCCTGGGTTTAGGCAATTCTCCTGCCTCAGCCTCCCGAGCAGCTGGGATTACAGGCACGCACCACCGTGCCCAGCTAATTTTTTGTAATTTTAGTAGAGACGGGGTTTCACCATGTTGACCAAGATGGTCTCGATCTGTTGACCTCGTGATCCACCCGCCTCGGCCTCCCAAAGTGCTGGGATTACAGGCTGGAGCCACCGCGCCCGGCCCAGGTGATTCTAATGTATAGCCCACTCTTACAGCTCAGCCAAGAGTGGCGATCCTTCCCTGGTCCGCCTGCCCTGTGGGGCTGCTTCTAAAGATCTCCTGAAAGACCCGATGTACTAGTCTTTGCCTGGCCTGAAAACAACAGGAAGCCATTAAGAGTCTTGCTCAGAAAGTGGCAGGGGAAGGGCTGTTCAGGCCAGCTCCTCAGAGCCTGCCCACAGATGCTGAAAGCCCCCACTGGAGACCTTGAGGGCTGCAGGCTCCAAATGGGTAGTGGGAAGGGTGCTGGGGGAGGCAGTGCCAGCCTGGGAAGGGCCCCAGGCCAGGACAGGGCTGGGAGGCTGGAGAAGATGTCTACCTGGAAGTGACTGCCCAGTTTGCTCCCTGCAGGTACAAGCGGAGATCAAGCGAAAATGGCGAAGCTGGAAGGTGAACCGTTACTTCGCTGTGGACTTCAAGCACCGACACCCATCTCTGGCCAGCAGTGGGGTGAACGGGGGCACCCAGCTCTCCATCCTGAGCAAGAGCAGCTCCCAAATCCGCATGTCTGGTCTCCCTGCTGACAACCTGGCCACCTGAGCCGTCCTCCCCTCCTCCTCTCCTCCATCCACAGGCTGGGACTGCAGGCAGGCGCCAGCCCACGCATGTTCGCGCCTCCTCCCTCCCCTTGGGCAGGCCCTGGGCTGGAAGCTTGGCTCCCCGAGGGGGAGAAGGAGGCAGGGCACAGACTAGGATTGCCCCCTCGTTGTTTTGGTACTGGTCCCACCCACTGTGGTCCCCTGGGCCCTGACCCCAGACATGTAAATACTCCTCAAATTTGGAAAAGTTGTTCCATCCCTTTCCCCTTTGCCCCAGTGTCCCCCTCCTCACCTCCAGCCAGGTCTCAGCTCCAACCATCTGCATCTTGGTCAGCCTCAGTGATGGCCTGACCCCAGCTGTGAGGCCTTGTGAGCTAAGGCTGAAGAGAGCTTGCCTGTAGGAGCTGGGGTGGTACCTGCCCCAACAGCTCCCTCATCATCTGATTTTGGATGTGACTCCTCGAGTGTGCATGCCACTGTGGGGCTCTTCTCAGTCCTGGGCCCAAGTCCCTGAGGCCTAGCAGAGGGCCAGCTCAGGTGGCCAGAACGCCCCTTGGTGCAGATCTCCTGGCACTCACCCAGCATCTTGGTGTCTGGGTGCTCAGCTTCTGGGTCCCAGGGCAGTGGGACAGCTCCAAGGCTCTTCTCATCAGAGACTTCAGTTTGGGTGGGGAGTCTGTAGGTCAGGGAAAGTTCTGGTGCTTTTCATTTGACCCAAAAGGAGCCGAGAGCCAGACATGTGTCTGTGATTGGGAAAGAGACAGTTTGGGAGACCCATGGAAGAAAACCTTTGCCATCTCCATTGTTTTAACCCCAGCTCAAGATGGGCAGGGTTCTTCTGGTCACCTCCCATCCACCTGTCCTACCCCCATGGATGCCTTCCAGAAGCTGTTTCCAACCACGCCCACCACAGAGAGTCCCTAAGCCCTCTCCTCCCCATTTCTCCTAAGTCAAAGCCATGACTATGATGAACCAGCCGCCTGCCTGTGATGTCAGTGAATCCTGAATCACCTTTTGCCTCCACGCGCCTGAGTCTGGGGCCCAGGGCTCTCCTACCCCCACCCCCACCTCCACGGATGATGAGATGTTCCAGATACCAGATCCTTGGGCCTGGACTCAACTATTGAAATCTGAGACCTCCGCAAAGATGTCCCTTATATGCTCTTGACCTTGACTCACCATGGGCCGCTAGGGTGTCAGGAGGAGAAGCCACACCCACTATGCCCGTTCTGATGGGGCACTTGCTTCCCACTACCTGCCTCTGGGTCCCCAGCTGCAGGTTGCACACCCTCAGCCTGAGAATATAAAATAGGGCGGTGCCCAGCTGGGGAGGTAGAGGGAAGTGCTGGAGTACACGGTCCCTGTGTGGCCTAGTTTTCCATGTCATGTTTGGTGTACTCCTGTCCAAGTTCTGTTTGCAGACTTGTCTCATGACGATGTTCTGGAATGCTTGGGGACTTTGGGTGGAAGAGGATGTCACTTCATTTTATAAAGAGGAAGGGGCCTGGGGGACTTGGGAAAATGTTTCTGGAGAGGCTTTCAGAATGGCTGGAAAAGGCTCTTGTTGCTGTAATTTAGAAAGAATTCTGTGTCCTTGGCCAGTCAAGTAAGTCCCTGGCTCTTTGGCAAAGCCAGAGGAAGAAAGGAGGTACCTGACCTTTCCTGGGCATGCTTGGTGACTCAGATCGATCATGGAGTGTGCAGTGGCCCTTCTATCCTGCACCTGACCTCATGGTCCCCTCTGCCTGCACTAGTGTGTATTACTGAAGCAAGCATTCTGTGGCCATCTTGCACTTTGGACACTGCGAAGGGGGCTGAGCTGCCTGGAAAGAGCCATGGACTGGGGTTCAGGGAACTACACTCTATCCCAGTTGGGTTCAGACTGCTATGACTGTGGATACGTTGCTCCCTGCCCTGTATTTAAATGATTTTCCAGTTCGAAGCCAAGGCAGGTAAAAGGGCATGCAACATTGTGCCTCATATTAGGTTCTGATGAGTGTGTGTGTGTGTGTGTGTGTGTAGAGGGATGGACAGAATGCCATTTATTTCCCTTTCTTAGAAATGGACCTTCTGTCCCTTCCATTTGAACACCACAGTGGAAGCTGATGGACTGGAAGGAAGAACTAGGTCACGGACATTTGAACAGGTGCCTTGGGCCTGATGTATAGACACAGTCATATATACGTGGCTGGGTTGTGGTGCCTCCTCCAGATCCAAGGAGCAGCCCCTGGGGATGGACCCCATTCATTCATCATCACTCCCAACAGCAGGTCTGTTCATTGTGGAAGAAGAAACTTTGGCATTATAGAGACATCATCGCAAAGCAGCAAAAACAAAATCAACCCTGAGCCCCATGCACTGTGCTGCTTCCTGAGCCCTGGCCCTGTGTCTTCAGAGAGGTTGCTCGTTCCTATTGGCTGGTTGATTTTTCTGTCTGAATGAATTTTTGCCAGTCTTGTGAGCAGATGTACCTGATGTATTCTCAATGTTCCAGGAGGTTCTGGCCTTCAGGGTCACAGGCAGTAGGTGGACAGCATAAGGTCTGTGTAAAACTCTTCCCTCTCTGACCCTGTTTTCAAATCTGTAAAATGGGCAATAAGACTAGATGACTTTTATATAGCCTAAAGCATCTCTGGAACTCTGTCTAAACACCAGCCATCTACTTGAAATGGGCCCCAGAACTGTGGTATTTGCCTGGGCCAGGAAAGGCTAATAAATCCTGTCATGTGAAGACAGCTTGAGACACTTGGGAAAAGTGGGGCTGGGGAGCAGCAGCCCTGTCAGACTCCATCCCTGTTGGGGATTATTCCTGGGAAGGGGATTCTCATTTTGTGCAATCCTGAAGGACCAAACTCACCCACAGGAGGCTGAATTGGGATATATATATATATATAATGCCAATCATTCTTGGGATGGAGAAATCTCTCTTTCCCTGTCACGACTGTCCAGCAAGGGAGTAGGCAGAGCGTCAGGGAAGGACTTTCATCCTGGAGGAAATGGGATTCCAAGACAAGGATGCTGAGGCTGTCAGGGAGCCAGAGAAGGGGTTCAAGTATGGAATGTGGGTAGCTGTGGTTCTGTGGTGGCCCCTAGCACTACAGACTTAACGACTCCCCACTTAATGTCAAGCCACATTCTCTGTACCAGTGTGTAGCTCTGTCACCCTGCTTGACGCATCCAGTGGCTTACAGTGAGTCCTCTCTAACTCAGCCCCCTCTAAGCTGGGTTCTTTGCTGAGCAGGGCCAGGGAGCTAGAGCCAAGCCTGAGGCTTGAGAGACACCTGTATCTACAATCCTTGTCAAGGATGCCCACTCACCTCTCTCATCTGACCCTCACTCTTCATGGAAGGGAAAGCTCAAAGGGTCTCTTTTTCTTTGAGTGATACTCTTGCCTCCTTCATGGCGACTCCAAGGTGAAGCCAGCAAGTATTAATACTTTGTTATCATAAAGTCCTCCTTGAGCCCAGGGACCATGGAAGTCAGCTAGAAGATCCCTGAGCAAGGAGCAGGGACTTGGGCTTCCAGATTTGCTCCTGGCTTGTGTGACCTTGACTCATTCCCCATATGACTTTGAGGAGGCTTACAAAATGCTAAAGCTGGGAGGAAACGTGGAGATCTGTAAGTCAAACCTCCCCGCTGGGCTGATGAGAAAACACAGCATGGTGCCTACCACCATGGTGGGATCCAGTATGTTTTATAAATCTGAATAAGTGGCTCACATATATGCACAGCCCTGCACATGAGCAGAATGTGACACTCAAAGCAGCCATGCACTATGTATGTAATCTTGCACAGGACAGGGGCTCTGGTGACAGAAGGTTGTCCAGGACTCTACTGCAGGAGAAGCAATGGAGTCAGCGTGGTATGAGGAGACCTACTTTTCAACCTGGGCTTAGCCACCTGCTCTGTGATCCAGGCCTTACCTTCTTTGGGCCTCGGCCTTCTAATCTGAGTAATGGAGAGGACATGGTTGGCACTGTTAGCCCCACAGACCAAGGATAAGGTTGAGATGAGATGGCTTGTATGTGAAAAGATTTTGGAAACTATACATATGAGGGCTTGTTACTGGGATGAAGACTGCTGAAAGGGACTCCTTGCTGTCTATCTACTGCTTTGAGCCCTCCTGAGTTAACCTTTGCCCCATTTGTAAAACCACCAGCATCAGGAGTAAGGGGGAGGCCAAAGGGCTAAGATGGACACAGAATTCTAGGTTCATCTGCATCAGCTAATTCAGTTTTCTGTTGGGATTAGAGTGAGCATACTTCCATAGGAGTGATAGCAGCATTTCCTTGCCACTGCCCTGGGAGTCAACTTCAAGGATCTGGGACATTTCGCAAGTGGGTGTTGTATCCATTCCTTCTTCTTCTGAACTCAGTCTTGGGATGTGTCTGTACTTGGCCATATGTATCTTGTCTGATGTCTGTCTTCTGAAGCTTTGCCTCTGTCAGGGCTAGAGTGGCGCAGCCCCTGGCATCTCAGACATGGTTCCTGGCTCACTCATGGGAGCTGGACCAGCCTGGATTTCATCTCCCACAATAAAGACAAGCCCCACAGACCTTACTGCTACCGCTGCTGCCATTAATGCTGTGCTCACAATCTTGTCCAGGATGTCACACTGCTGTAGATGACTCAATAAATGTTTTACCATTTTTCCTGGTGGCTGTAACTTGGCAGAAGTGGAGGGCAGGGAGGAAAGGAGGTGGAAGGGGAGAGCACTACTGCCCCAAATTTGATCATCCCAGAGTAATCTAGTCTACAAGGCCCAGTGGCCTTTAAGTTTCCAAAGGAGAAATATGAGAGTGGGCCTGAGTGAGCCTAGGATGGGCTTCAGAAAGTAAATTAGAAGTCTTGGCCTCAAAGGATTATGGAAACTGAGTGGAATCATGCCCTTCATACTGTACCTCGGGAGTACCTACCAGACATCCGAGAGCCTTGACTGCAGGGAGCATTTCACCCCAGGTAACTACAGGTACATCCTTGGCTTCCAGGGTCCCATCTGCTAATACTTCTGGATATTCTGAGCCATCAATCTCAGCCAGACCAGATAACCAATTCAAGATAACTGTAATTTCCTCAAGGTTCTGTTGATTGTCATGATCCCAGTGTCCATTTTCATATTGGTCATAATGTCAGTTGCTAGCAACGAAGATAATCCTGGCTAAGTCAGAAGAGGAGTTTATGAAAAAGATGTTGAGCTGGTCACAGAATTCTCATAAGGCTGGAGAAACTAGAAAAGGTATTCTGAAGCCATATCATGCTGCATGACTGATGAAAAACTGCTGCCACTGTTGCTGCTGCCACCCCAGTGATGTCTCTTCCATGCCAGGGACGTGACCTCACAATTATTGCCACCTTCGAAAGCAGAGAGGTTTGCTGCTGTTCTCACTATCAAATCAGATTCCATTTTCAGTCCTTTTCCTCAAGTTGCCCACTTCCAAATCAAATTCTCACGTAACACCATTGGATTGCTGTGTCCTCACTACAAGGAAGACTGGAAATTGGACTTTTCTGGATTCCTGGAGAGTCAGGCTCACAAGCCTGGAGATTTTCTAAACATAACAATAAAATCTTGGGAATAGTAAGTGCCCACTAAAACAGGCCTGAGGTCTACAGCAAATGCAGGGCCAGCTTTCTCCCGCAATCAGGTGGGCCATTCTGAAGAAGTCAAGTCAATGGAAAGATGGATTTTAGCGCAATAGCATGTGAGCCCTGCAACCAGCTAGCAGTGTATAGGTCACCAGAGGCCCCCAGGTGTTCAGGGGTTGTTCCCATGCTGGGACACTGGTTGTGCTTTCAGAGACTGTGTCTGCTCCTTTTTCTCCAGGTCCACCTCTTCTTTTAGTTCTAAAGGAGATGACCAGGCTATGTTATATGACCCACTTAGCAGATATTTTGAGCTGCTTCCAAAATGGAACCTACGCTCAAAGGCTGAAAATTAGTTCCCTTGTGTGTCAGGCTCTGCTGGCTGTTCCTACAGAATACTTCCTTAATGTTTAGAAAAGTATTATTTTCACTGATGTGACCATAATGAATTGAGCTTCCAAAAGGAAATCAGCCTGCAGATGTCCATATATTTTGTTCTTTGAAAGAGGCCACGTCCAAAAAGCGAAGGTAAGAGCCAAAAGTTAGTTGAAAGGCTTGACTTTCACATTAAACTTGAAGGTTTTGGCAACTGTGAAGATCATCAAACTCCTTAGTCCATGTGAGCATTTATTAAATCCTGTTTCCTCTGTCCTCTCCCCAACATTGATGGAGTAAGCCCTCATTTCTCCCAAGCCCCTCAAAAAATGCCTTGAATCTTGGCTGTTCCTGATAATGCTGTTTTGCTGGTACTGTGGGCAATTCCTTTTGGGAACCCAGTGGTTCTTAGACATTATTTTGTATTAGAGTCAGCTGAGGGGCCATTAAAACACTGACTGTGGGACCCACCCCCAGAATTTCTGATCCAGCAGGTCTGAGGAAGGGCTGGACCATTTTTATTTCTTAGAGGTTCTCAGCTGTGGCTGTTCTGCTGGTCTTGAGATAGCACTTTAAGATCCACTGTTCTACAGGTTCTGACTGAGGACACTGGAAGGGCATCATAGTCCCTGTCTGTGAACCCTGGGCAATGATTACCTTTCCAGGAGGCAGAGAACAAGCATAGTCATTTGCAGCAGGAGCTTTAATTTCCTTTTTTCTCTCAGACTAGTGTCTTAGAATAGAAAGCAAAGAGTTCCAAAAGGAAATCAGCCTGCAGATGTCCATTCATCTCAATCAGCATAAGTATCAGACCGTCTCTGAATCAATTGGTATCAAGTTCAGTGAGATAGGACAGCAAAAACTCCAATAAAAAGTGGCTTAAAGCAGACAGAAGTTTACTTTTCAAATGAAGTCCGGAGATAGACAGTCCAGAACTGGTGTTGTGGCTTTGTGGTGTCTCAGAGGACTCAAGCTTCTATCTTTTTGCTCCTCCATCTTTGGCAGGTGAGTTCTAGTCTTGAGGGCACCCTATGCTAGGGCCCCCTGGAGCTCTGGATGTCACTGGACTTAGAGGTAAATGGGAGAAGGCAAAATAACTCTTTTTCTTCAGTCATCTTCTAAGAGGCCTGTATCTGCTTACATCTCATTATCCAATGTGTAGTCACAGGGCTACACCTCACTGCAAGGCAGGCAATGCGGTGCAACCTTAACATTGGAAGGAGAGAACGGATGTTGATTGACAACAGTTTGTGTCATAATCTCCAAATCTTTGGGCAGCCCTTTGTGGTGGGTTGGGTTCATCCAACACCTGTGGAAAACCAGAGTCATAATGACTATATGTTTGTCCTATTTTACTATATTGGGAACAAACTCGGGAATACAGTCTCCAGCCTGGACCACAAAGCCCCCTGATCGGAAGTGGGGAGCTGTGTCTTCCCACATGTTGAAACCTCATCTAGTTTCAAGGGATGAGAGCGTGTCTGCACCATTTCTGGTGTGTTCTCTCTCATGGCTGCAGCCCCTGAGTGCATTCTGTGCCCTGGTGCTTTCTACATTAAGTAATGTCTTTTTAATCTGGGGGATCCTCAGAGTAGTGATGGGGGCTTGGGAGGGATGAAGGTCTTGTAATTTCTTACTGTCAGCTGCCCCCAAATGAACTCATGTAGATGCTCGGAGCCTCCCAACCTTGTTATACTGTGCCCTTGTGGATATCCCATTGCAGTAGTTATTCTGGTATGAACATGGGAATTCCCCTGCCACTCTCCTGAATGCAAGGTTATAAATTCTCTGTGTGAAACCCAGTCATCAAGAGTTCTTCCATGCGCTCTTTCTAGGCCAGAGAAGCAGTCCTTAGCAGATATCAGACCTGTACAAAAACATCATGGGTATCCATTCCAATTCATACAGATTCTCAGCCTATGGGGACTTCTTAGCGAGATCTCAGCTTGTCAACAAATATTCCACCAATGCAATGGGCAGGGCCTTTCTCTGACCCCCAGGGCCCTCTCAGGACCACCCCTCTCGGTCACTCTCTTCCTCCTCCTTCTTTCAGAGAGCCCCCACCTGCAGTGTATTGTATTCTAGGTCCTTCTCCTCCCTTACCCCAGGTCCTTCCTCCCCTCTGTCCCTCAAGTAGACTTAGGCATGGCTTGGGGTGAGTTCTCCTTGAGCTGACACTCTTAGTGTCCCTATCTTTTGGTTGTCCCCAATACTTAAGAGTCATCTGTAGTGTTCTCCTTAACCCTCTTGAGATGCTTTTTTCATGTACAAAAGCATCCATTCCTATGACATTAAGCCTGACTTTCATTAATCAACCCAGCTATTCACCACCAGGAACAGTTTTGGCTTGGGCAGTAAGTACCATGGAGAGAGCCAAGTGAACCTTGGGTCCAGCACCACAGACAGTTCCAAGACCATACCTACTTGGCAGTCTGTGTGGCCTATTTGTATCCCATATGAACAAAGGCAGATTTAGGTTTTATGAAGCTGGAAACTCATAATTTGGGGAGTCTTCTTTAATACAAAATGAAAAATTTTTAATTCAAAATTAGGTATGAAAAATAAGCGTGTTTAGAATGAGAAAACTTGACAACTATCATACACACTAGGAAACCCAGAAAAACGTCATCATCTTTGTATTCATTACTCTCTGACACTTTTTGCTTGTTTTGGCTGCATACTCTTTGATCATCTCTTTATTAGATAACTTTTCTATCATTTTCTTTGCATAAAATTTAAATATAATTTTGTCGCAGTTAATCAAAATGTGTGTTTTATTATTGAACATTTGGACTCAGCACCAATGAAAACAGAATCTTCCAATTACAATTTTACACATATGATGACTAGCACCTGGCTCCATACATATCCAACTTTGTTTCTCCAGCACTGCACACACTGCCAGGCACTGCAGGACGTTTTAATGGACATGATCTGATCTCTGGTCCTCTCTCTGCCTTTGTACATAATGCTGAATGAACAACAGGAGTATTCCCAGAACAAGAGTATAACTATAAAGAAGCAACGGCACACACTCATGTGTAAAACCCACTGAGCCCAAACCGAACGTCTAATTAACCTCCCCTTCGTTGGATCCCCACAGTGTTCCTAGCAGTTCAGTGCTACCCAACATTGTAAAAAGGATGGTAGAGAAGACATTAGGGTGGAGAGATGATGCAGCATTAAGTAATTTAGGGCAAATAACTTACTTTTTTCAAATTTTCCGAAACATAAGATCTTATAAACACATTTCTGAGGTTCAAGCGAGAGGGGGACTTGGAAACTAAGTGCTGGATATGACCCACATTTATGTACAGGAATGTACTTTTTAGTTTTACAAGACTTAGGCCTTTAATGCAGAGACCCAGAGATCTCTGACGTCCCCATTTTCAAATGATGTCATGTTGTCTCTGGAGCATTCAGGTCACTATTTAGATGGATGTCCATTACCCCTTCATTAAAAAATTTCTTAATGGAAACTGTGTGGTAGAGGCAGTGAGGGCACAGTTTGCCATCAAGAATGAAACAGAAACATTTTTGTCCTCATGGTCAGGTGGAGAAGACTAAAAAAATCAGCCCCATATGGTGTGTGATAAGGTGTAATTAAGGCGTTAAGGGATCTGTGGTTAACAAAGTAAACATCTGTAACTGCTGCTTCAGCCTCCATTGCCCTCAGCTGCCTCTGAGAACCCTG